AAAAAAAAAAAAAAATTATAGGTGTGACCTACTGTGCCCACCCTATTGTTGCTTTTAATTATTTGACAATATTAAAAATTTTGAAGGTTACACAGAAAAATCTCCAGCTTCTCTTGAAAAAATAGGAAGATGAGGCCACACTGAGCTTACATTCCAGCATGTATACTAATCTACCATGGGGAATAGCACCTGTACCCTCTGGGTGGGGCTTTTGTGCCCCTAGTTTGCCACAGTCCCCACAATTCCCTATTGTCTCATCCCCAACCCACCAGACTTATTTACATAATCTGTCTGACCACTGTAGGGATTTGAGTTTACAACTCCTGTTGTGTAAGGGTTCAGGAGGGCAGTAGCTGCACCTTCTCTGCCTCATCCAGGAGCAAGCTGTTACAGTTCCTTTCTCTACAGAGATGAACAGCTTGCTGAGGCCTCTTTGAGAAATATGCTTAGGGGGAAATGCAGCAAGGGGTCCAGGGCTTGTTCCAGACCCTCATACTCTCTTGTCCCCACCCCCTGTTGCTTAGGGAGGTATGAAAACTGATCACCTTCCCTAAGTGAGGTGGCACCAACCACATGTGGCAATGGCCACTGGTGCTGAAGGCCTGCCCACTGATGCTTACGGATGAGACCCTGGGCTTAGGAGCAATCTCCCAACCTGCCCTTATGGTGGCAGTCCCAGGATAGCTGCCCCGCTCTTGTCCCAAAGCCTAGTCTCTGGGCTGCATCTAAATGCTGCATGAACGCTGACAGAGTGTAAAGAAATGACTTCTCTTTTCTCCTCAGCTTCTCAGATACGATGGATCTGAGTGACTGCTGTCCCCTTAAAAGTCGCTTTAAGAAGTTGTTCATTTGTTACATTTTATAAATGAATGTTCTTCCCTTCACAGCTATTGTCCAGGGAACCGGAGTTGTCCAGGCTGCCAACTTTCTTCCAAGGATGGTGCAATTCCCCAAATTGTTCTGGGGTTTCTTGGAGACTGCTCCCAGAGTCAGTTTAGTCTTGTTACTTCAGAGTCGTGCTATATTTGGGACCTCAGATTATATTATCTGCATTTATCACCTAGCTTATTCACCAGACTTGGCTGTAACCTAACTGTGGCTATTTTCCAAAACTCAAATCTGCCTTCAAAGGACAAAGATTTGCCTCCTTGAAAGATATTCCAGCTCTGAGGAGGGGTGGAGTGTTCTGGAAAGCCACCCAGCATCCCTGGGAGAAAGCTGGCAGCAGTGGGAAACCTGTTCCCCAAGGGGACAGCTACAGAGGAAGAGTGGTAATTTCAGACTTTATTGAGGCATATTGTCCATACAATTTACTTAGTCACAAATATTTATTGAGTGCCCCTTTTGTGACAGGCACTGTTGTATATACAGGAGATAAAGCCTTGAGCAAACAGATAAAAGCCTCCACCCTCAAGGAGCTTACAGACAAGTTTGAAAAGAAAATGAATAACCAGATAGAAGCTGGGGAGGGAGGTGGTGCTGGGAGTCTCCCTGGAGGGGGGACATTTGAGTAAAGACCTGAAGGAGGTGAGAAATGAACCATGTGGATGTCACCAAGACACTGAAAGGGCCATGTCATAGCTTATTCCATTCCTGTCTGGAACACACATGTTCATCTATGACTGCAACCCTAGTGCGCACACCACTGGCATTTTGTCTCCTCGTTTGCTAGAGAAAACATTTCCCCAAGCTTTTGCAATCTTTATGATTATATTAGCGAATGCATATTTGTTCAAGTTGATGTATGAGGATTCACTGCACCCAGCCTCCGTTCTCAGTTACTTCTCATTTGTTCACTGCAACAAAGGCTGTGGTATCTACTGGTCAACAGCTTTTCACTTTGGTTGTTTTATTTTCTAAGGATAAACTCCCAGAAGGGAGAGAATGGGGGGAGGGGGTGTCAAAGGGCATGGATGTTTCTACAGTCTTTGCTACATAATGCAGTGCTGTTTTTCTAAGGGGACAACGTCCATTTTTAGGTCTAAGACCCAGTTTGTTAAAAATTCAGTTCCTACCATGCCTAATTTATAACTCCTGGTAATGCCTTCTGAGTTCCCCCAGAGCCTTCGCGGGAACATACAGCCTGGCAGCTAGGAAAAGCCAGAGTACCAGAGGTGAGGAGCCCAAGGTGGGGTGGGGGTGGGGGTGAGGGCCTGATGTGCAGGTGAGGGCTGCACTCACGTGAGCTCTGGGTACACGTTCTCCAGGTACCAGCGGAATGACTTGCAGTTCATCTTCTTCCTCTGCTCGATCCGAGTGGCTACACTGCAGGAGGAGGCAAGATTGGGTTTAGACCTGCCAGTATGGGGAGTATGGACAGCAGAGGCCCTGGGTCCAGCCCCAGGAGCCACCCAAGCCTGCCCTGTCCAGCCTTGGCCACTGCCCAGTGTCATTCTCTGACCTGTGAGCTCACCCCAGTCTCTTGGTCACGCCTCATTCCTCTCCTCAAATTCTTGCTCAGCACTCACTTTTCAGGAGGAGCCCCGCCCACAGGGGACCCCACTTTTCTCTGGCTTCTCTCTCCGTGGTGCCTCACTTAGCATACCATAAATGGGTCCTTTATTTTTGCAGAGAGTGGAGCCTTAGTTAACTAACTAGAATTTATCCTTTCCTGCATTCCACTTGAGGAGGCATTCCAATGACAAGAAGACCAAGCTGAAAAAGTCCTCAAACTCTTGGTGTCAAGCAACTCTCTGTCTCAACCTCCCAAGTAGCTGGGACTACAGGTGCTGCCACAATGCCTGGCTATTTTTTTTCAGTTCTGGCTGGTCTAGAACTCCTGAACTCAGGCAATCTACCCGCCTCAGCCTCCCAGAGTACTAAGATTACAGGCATGAGCCACCGCACCTGGCCAACATCAGTATTTTTTTTTTTTAAAGGGGGATAAATAACAATAAATAGAGTAAAACAGATTCACTGATGATCACAAATAATGTTTTCAAACTTTCCTGACCACAGGTGTAGGTAGGAGATAAATATAGCTTACATTATGATCTAATACACCCCACATACAGTCAGCCCTCAGCATTCATGGGTTCTGCATCTGTGGATTTAACCAACTGTGGGTCAAACATATTCAGAAAAAAAAGTTTCACAAAGTTCCAAAAAGGAAAACTTGAATTTTCCGTGTGCCAGGTACTACACTGAATCTATCTGGATGAAGTAATGTGTAGGCATTGTAATAGGTATTCTCCGTAATCTAGAGAAGACCTAAACTATACAGGAGGATGTGTGCAGGTTATATGCCAATGTTACATCATTCTGCATCAGGGACTTGAGCATCCAGGCATTACGGTATTTACAGGGGATCCCGGAACCAATGCCCTGTGGATGCCCAGGGATGACTGTACATATATAGGTACACGCGTGGACACAGATGTACCACTGCACTCAACTCTTATCTTCTATTCTGTTCTGTACTAATCTTATCTACAGTGTTCTATTTCTCTCTCTCTCTTTTTTAATGCTGGTCACGACCCACTAAATTGATTTCACAGCCCATCTGCATTTTGAAAATGCGTAACTAGACTGTAGTCAAAACGGTCCACGACAGGGAAATAGGCTAACAGATCACGATTCTGAACAGGGGGAGGAGACAAAAATGCCAAATGTTTTCTGCAAACAGCCCTTTCGCACAGATGCCCCTTTTCCTATCGGCAGCTTGTGGGACAAGTTTTTTTTTTTTTTTGGTAGTTTTTGGCCGGGGCTGGGTTTGAACCCCCCACCTCCGGCATATGGGGCCAGCGCCCTGCTCCTTTGAGCCACAGCGCTGCCTGGGACAAGTCTTTTTCATAAGCAAGATTTCTCTCTTGCTACATCTCCCCACAAACTGCGCACACCTCCCAGACCAGGAGCTTGTTTCCCCCTTGCATCCCCTCACAGGGTGGGGAGCCCAGCAGAGCAGGAGCTCAGTCACCAAGGAGGCTGTGAGCAGGGCTCTGGTGTACACGCCACCTCTTGCTGGTTGTGCTGTGCTAACATGGGTGACGCTCTCTCACACAGTGGAGCTGGGGGGCCCACCTGCCGAAGGCCTTTCCAATGGCCGAGGGCCGCGCTTCGTAGTAGTACTGCTTGTATTCGTCCATCCACACCTCCGCAGTGCGCTTGGTATTCCTAGAAGGAGAGGAAGGAGCTAAGTAAGGTCGCCTGGGAGGCAGTGGTTAGGATCCCAATGGGCCCTGTGCAGCACAGGTGATAAGAATCTCAGAGGCAAGGCAGCACCGGTGGGGGCGGTAGTGTAAATGAGCACAGTCTCTTTGGAGGACAATCTGTCAGTATCCATCAGCTTTGCAGACGTGGACCACATTCCCTTTGGGGAATCTACTCTACTGAAATACTTGTATGTGGGCAAAAAGACATTACAAGAAAATTTGTTTAACAAACCCTTGGCAGCAGCCTAAATGCCCATCTGTAGAATAACTAACTCCTTCTACATGATAGAGTACTAGGTTCCTTGAAAAAGAGTGCCACGGTTAATATGCACTGACCACTGAAGGGTGTCTATAATTTAGTGTTATGTGACAAAAAAGAATGCTTCAGAAAAAAACATACAGAGCAGCACCTGTGGCTCAGTGGGTAGGGCGCCAGCCCCATATACTGAGGGTGGTGGGTCCAAACCCGGCCCCAGCCAAACTGCAACAAAAATACCCAGGCATTGTGGTGGGCGCCTGTGGTCCCAGCTACTCAGGAGGCTGAAGCAGAAGAATCGCCTAAGCCCAGGAGTTGGAGGTTGCTGTGAGCTGTGTGATGCCACAGCACTCTACCAAGGGTGATAAAGTGAGACTCTGTCTTTACAAAGAAAAAAAAGAAAGAAAGAAAGAAAAAAACATACAGCATGACCCCATTTGTATAAAAGCACAAACCCAAACCCATGATGAGTCTTTCTATCAAAACTTTATGTATGGGCTCGGCGCCTATAGCTCAACCAGCTAAGGCGCCAGCCACGTACACCTAAGGTGGCGGGTTCGAATCCCCAGCCCGGACCC